GCTTTCTAGTGGTGTCTGGAAGCAGAACATATATTGAATAAAAAGCCAGCAGCAATTCATTTAAGACACTAGCCGTTAGTGAGCTTGTCACAGAGTGCTGGACTTTTTTATACACATTTCTCCTTGATCCAGACTTACTGTAACAGACTATAAACACAAATATCTCCACAGTCCTTACATAACCTAGTTGGAAATCAATTAAGAAACACTGTTTTGTGCAACTGTTTCTGTGTAATGTTTAATCATACTGCTCATTATGTATGCTTTCTGGTCAACGTGTTTCATTAAAGACTATATGCATGGAGATGAGTAGGCTTGAATTCCCCTGTGAATATAGCCCTCGCTTCACCAAAACAGTCCAATTAGAGCATATGTAGCACAGCTCCCTCACTACATCACTCCATCTGAAACATAGCCACAGTGTGGGATGCAGAAAATACCAAAGATGTCCAAGTCAAACCAAAACCATGCCAAACTGAGTCTACAGGAAGACCCAGCAGCATCTCTGTCAGAGCTCCAGTGGAGTCTCATTTGTGAGAAATATCTTAATGGTAACAAAGCTACATAATGGGAATGTCGTTTTTTACAGCAACATATCAGAAATTAAATGATTAGGCGGTTAACAGTAAATCAATAAATAAAAGAAATAGTCGACTAATCAGTTAATTCAATTTGTAGGCAAACATTTCAAAAGTTAATAGGATCCATACTTTATTATTTATTTACTCTGTCCTCTGGGATACTACATTGAATTCCTGTGGGTTATCGATTGTTGTTAGGACAAAACTAGAAATAAAAATATGTGAAAAATACTCATAATTACATTATCCAAGGGCCCACAGTGGAATTATTATAACATTTAACAATGGTCAATCAGTTAATCCATCACATGATCAAATAAACTGTTAGTTGCAGCCCTAAAACATACAACCACCAACAGCAATAATACCAGAACAATGGCAATACAATAATGTAGGCTAGCACACAATGGAGCGGTCTGATGAGGGACAGAGGGGAGGCCGAGGCAGCGCTGCCACCGCAGGCCTTTCACTCTGTCCAGCACAAGGGAAGCTCAGAGAACCAAAGCAGCACAACAGAAAACAAAAGGCAGGAAGAGGACTCATCCTGTCATTTTTACATAATTCAGATTATCTGAATTATTCCTGGACATCAGAGACACACAAACACCCAACAGGCTAGAGTCAGGAAAAGAGCGAGAGACATGTACAATGTAACAGTTGAGCATGAATGCCCTATCTTAATAAATCCCCATGAACATTTAATTAGGACTGAAGTGGAAGCTAGTTATATATATATTTTTTTTTCAAAATCTGATGATTTTATTTTTTATTGACTAATTGTATATAGTGAACAAAATGTCAGAAAAACCGTCTAGGGTGACATCCAAAACCCAAATCTATTTCATTCATACTCATATTATTAAATAAGGACGCCATTCGTCAAATAATTTCTGATTCAGTGCACCACTTAATTACTGCCATACATAAACTAATATTTATTTCCTTTTCAAGCAAAAATACTTCATAATATACCTTTATTTACTTTTATCTTTTGGGGCGACTGTGGCTCAGGGGGGGAAAGTGGTCATCTACCAATTGCAGGGTCAGTGGCCAACATGTCAAAGTGTCCTTGAGCAAGATACTAAACCCCAAATTGCTCCCGTATAACCAACAGTGTTGCGTACATTGCTTAGGAATTGAGCTAAATGAAATATTAATAATACTGTAGAAGAGATTCTAATATTTTAGTAATTGGAAGGATTTCAACGCACAGTAAAATCAATACTACAGCAATATAAGCCATGTTTTTTGTTAAAGGAAAATAGAAGCATGCCCAATAGCAAATTCATGTTCTGTCTTATTATTATATAAACAAAACAACGATTGATGCTTAATTTTGTCTCCCGTCTTTCTGTTAATGTTAAATCCCCAATGCATGCACACCACAGAGCAGCCCCTCTCTCCGGTGCTTTGTTCAGAGCGGAGCATGTTGGGGGGTTGGGTGTAAGACACAGGGTGTGGCTTCACTGTTGTCATGGCAACAGAGTGCACCCCCCTCAACCAGCAGTCAGAATATGGTGTGGAGGAACTCAGTCTACATCCAATGACAGTGTATGTGCAGGCAGGCTGACCAAAATATTACAAACATGTATGCAATCATCTCCTCTGCCTTTGTGCTTGCACGTCACACTTATCCAAGCAAATCCTAAGACCTGTAATATAGCCCTGACATCCTGTACCATTTCCTTTAGTGCCAGAGAGATAGGCTCTGTGGTTTCTCAGAGTTCAAACAAGCAGAGCCCATCAGTTATAGCAGCAATCCTGCTCTACAGCAACATCTTCCTTAATAGGCTGCTGCTGTTATAAAACACAAGGTTACATGACATTATTGGGATTCGTAAAGACGAGTCAACGGGTTCTTCATGTGTGTGTGTCTCCGTGGAAGCAATGAGCGCCTGACCTGCAGACAACCTCAACTAGGATGTTATGAAACATATAGAACATAAAGCAGGAGGCTGATGTCTATATACTGCCAAAAACGACTGTCCAATATGTGAGCGAATACAAGCCAATATACAGACCTTTGTGATGTTAAGTATGTCATGGAATATTGTAATAATCGTAGAAAGTAGTCAAATTCACTAAATGTGAATACATTAAAAGCTGGGTCAAATCCCCACCCTTGTGCGATGCTATTAACTGCCCCATTATTCAGTCACCAGTTCAATACTACAGTCAACATCGCTTCACTTTCCAAAGGTATTTGCATTTATAAGATATGGCAAAACACTTTCTTTAGACTCCAAGTTATTCAATGGCATCTGCACTAATGAAATTGAAAAAAAAAAACTAATGTCGAAAGAGCTAGATCAATACAGGATTCACTTTAAATAAATGGAGTGTTATAAGAAATAAAATGGAACATGACTTGGTGGTCAGCTGTATAAATTGCAAAACATTACCATCTGGTGGTGAAATGTAGCACTGCAATACACTGTTACTGGGTGAAAAGGGAAAATCCTTAATAATTCAATGTAACACAACAGATGCCTTCACACCTGACAATACATGGTTTAATTAGAGTTAAAAAATGAGATTTATTTTCTGTGGCCTTTACAGTCACCAGATCTCAACCCAATAGAATGAAAGATGTCTCCATACAATTGATACAAAAAAACACACATATATTAGAAAACGGGTGGTCTCACAAAAGAGATTCAATTAATATTTCAGAAATGGCGGACCGAACAGGATGTGAAGCGATGGCCTTTGTAAGATCATCAATGTATCATCAGGAGAAGCACTCAATATAATGTGCAGCCAGAAGGAGGAATAATAGGTTATAGTTGCTAAAAAGGCATTACCTTCTCATCTTTGGCTTTTTGTGGCTTTAAAATCATCAGATGAATAAGGAATACGGACACACATTTAACAGCCTCTAAAGTTATAATTATTTAGATGTATGTCAGCTATATTATGTTTCATCATAGTCTCATGTAAAAGAGGACATGGCTTATATGTCTCCTTGCAGCTGTGAAACTTCTTTGTATGCTTCTTCAGAAGAGAACACATCTTACATCAGATAACAAATACCTTGGCTTGTGGACACAATTGATTCAGAAAGGATACTCACAATCCTCTGCTTCCTGCTGTCCGGTAGATCCTCTCTCTTCATCCACAGGGGCCATAACTGTGGTAAAGAAATACATTGAACACACATTCAACCGGTTTTACTCAAAAGTTATATTACGTGGTTATATATTTTTTTTAAAAAGACAGTCAAGCAGGATACATATTTACTCTGACTTGAAACATCGTCCAAGGATAAATAAAAAACGAAATCATCACCTCAACCAGAGGGGGGAATAAGTACTCAGATCTGTTAAAGTAGAAATACCAGTGTGCAGGAAAACGGTTACAAGTAAAAGTCCTGCAATCAAAATGTTACTCAAGTAAAATAACTAACATATAGTGAAAGTATTAGCAGCATCAACATATACTTAAATTACCAAAAGTATCTACTCATTATGCCCATGCATTAAAGTGTCAGCAAAACTTTTTTTTTGTATGCTGCAGGGTAGCTTGAGAATACAAATAATAAAAGTTGTAATCAAGTGTTTCGTTGTATTTCATATCATTAATCCAAATATGCAAAGTAACTAACGGTATTAAATAAATGCAGTGGAGTAAAAGTACACGATTTACTCCTGAATTGTAGTGGAGTAGCAAAACATGGAAATTGTAAAGTCCCTCAAAATAGTAATTAAGTACAGTACTTAAGTACATATACATAGTTACTTTATACCACTGACATCACCTCAAACGTTAACTAGCTAACTAACTATCAGCTAACTAAATAGCTAACGTTTACTAGCCAGCTGCACAGACCGCTGAAAGTAGCAAAGCAAACTCGGGATTTTTTTATTCTGGTGGGTCCAGCGCTGTAAAGACAGACAGACAGACAGACAGACAGACAGGACAGGCTGGGTGGGTCATGGCTGGGACTTCTTGAAACCAAACAATGGCTACAAACATAGCCCTGCCTGCATCTAAAATAAATGTAATGCTCAGATATTAACGCTAAAATAGGACTGAACTCACAACTTTCGTCTCACCGAATCTCAACATTTCCCACAGTTTTCGACAGCATTCGAATGCAGCAGCTGAGCCGTTTGAGCGCCAAACGATGTGGTAAATACAATCCAGAAAGAAACCCTTTAAAGATAGATATCAGGAAGCGTGGAGTGGAACAACCCAATCTCAAAGAAATGGTAGACAGGGAGACTATTATATTATTCAATGAAGAGTGTTAATAAAGATAATTAATTTGAATTATATTTTGTTATGTTTAAAGGAGTAGAATCGGGTAGAATAGATAATTCTGGTTCACGCTCCAATACAGTAGGTGGCAGTAATGCCGCTTTAACGCTGGTCACCACCCGCCTTCAAAGCGTAAAAATAAGAAGAAGAAGAAGAAAAGCGCCAAACGAAGGGCAGCATTAATAGTTTTTGAGAAATAAAGATAAAGAAATCAAGCTAGCTGGAGAATCAATATAAATATCCTGAAGGCTATCGATTTTTCTAAAGAGAGAGGAGGACTGTGGCTATGTTTAAAAACAAGTCTGCCTGGTTTTCAAGCAGTGTGCCACAGGCATGTCACAACTTTTGGAGTAAGTAACCCATTATCAGGTCAAGCTAGCCTGCTAGTTAAGTGTATCACATGTTTTATTATGCTAACTATTAGCTGGTTTGGTAGCTTAGATCACAAAATAAGTTATTGACTTGAGCTAACAGGGTGGATTTGACTTACATATTATCAACATTTAACAAAGACATGATATAGTATGTATGGTATAGTAAGGCTACCTTTTACTGAATAATAGATATACTGCAAAAATCTAGTTTACTGATTAGTAATGTTAAACGTGTTCATGTTTATTCTATTGACATTCAAATAACACATTTTCTTTTTGTAAAATATATATTGGTTTGAGCTGTCTTGTGTGATTTGCCTACTTATGCTTCCCCTACTCCAGATAACACCACCTTTTGCAGAAAGGGGAAATTACTACAAGAGAATATACATACACACACACTAATGAACACAATAAAAACAACAACAACAACATGTGTCTTTCAGGGCTGGAGGGTGGGAGCATTGCTGGTTGCAGAACAGCAGATTACCTTTTCAGTGAGGATGCTACATGTGCAGATACTATGAGGTGAGCATGATGAAAAACTGTCTGCACATTAATTATCCAACAAATAAGTTGTGAGTTATTTTTATACGACCCCTATCGGATATAATTTTAGCCTTTTCTTTCAGGATATTTGAGAGCAAAGACTATCTTTGGAACAAGGTGGCGGTTTTTCACAGCTTGTTTCTCTCTGCCTGTGAGAGGCGCCAGAGTGTGAAGTCTGTGTGCATCGGTCATTATGTGCTCCCTCCAGCCTCAGTACAGGACGGTGAGGACGATTGCCCTACAATATATGTTTATTTCAATGTTGTCAATCATACCAAAACAGTGGTTCCCAAGTTTGGGATCAAGACCCGCAATAAGGTCCCAAGAGGAATCTGAGTGATTATTAAAAAAACTAAGGAAACTATATGGGAACTCAGACTGCATACGCAATGGTGTATGCTTAACCCTTACACAACCTTTTATTGGTTATTGCTTCAGCCAATCATTGGGAACCACTTTTGTAACACTCATACATTGTTCCTCTTATCATTTTAGAGGTGAGACAGGTGGTCGGTAGATTGATTTGGGAGTTTGAAGATGAGCAGTCAGTGGCACAGGTAGGTACACCAGTCTAAATAATTTACAAAGAGACCGATCATGCAAATCATTTTAGTTCGGCTTCCTTCTGTTTCACAGGGTTTTAGTAGCCAGACAGAAGATGAGTGCAGTGAAGTCAGCAAAAGCAAGTATGTTCAGTTTCCACTATTTCAAATTGGATTTCCATGCATTTTAAACTTTCAGTTAATTCATTAATTCACTATTTCTATTTGGCAGCTCTGGACCATCTGATACGGAGTCAGAAAGTGAAGCTCCTCAAAGTGTTCATTATCCAGTAACTGACATGCGCTCAGGTGAAACATTGATTATCATTAAGTGAATGTCCTTTTTGTAAAATATTTGCACTTGTTTCTCAAAAGTTTACAATAGAAGATTTGCCTGTAATGAAGATCTGGTGAAATAAATATGTACATAGTGAGACAATCTTCAATATCTGTTAAAAAAAAAAGTGTCCTCTGTGTTGTTGAATGTTTTAATATCACTTAATTTTCTGTTGATTTATTCACAACAGGTTACATCAGTATGGACAACCTCCAGAAATATTCAGGCGATCTGTGTGATTTCCATCCTGGATCTCTCCGATGCTCCCACTGTAAAGGCCACTGCTGCCCCCTGCACACATAAGCAGAAATGCACGAGAAAAGGATGAATACACTGGCCTAAAAATAAATCAGTGTCACATGTATTATTCTCATCTCATTGTGAATTTTTTCAACACTATTCTATTTGTCTGCCTATTGTTTAATTTGTCAACCATACTCACTATTTTTATATAAATGGTACAAATGGAAGCATTTGCAAAGCCCTGTTCAGTGTCTGGTATGACAACAGATATAATATAGACTTGCCCTCAAAGGGAGTAGCATGAAGCTGCAGCGTCGGAGACTGCACTCTCAGGACCGCACTCCCAGGACCCTAGTTTTTCGTGACACTGCCACCTAGCGAGCAGGAGACCTGAATATGAATGACAACGCAGAGAGTGTGACTAATGTGAAGTGCTTTTAAAGTTTTATTTGTTTAACATTAATAACAATTCCGGTGTCTTGAAATGAAGTGTGATTAGCTAACATTAACTATGATAGTCTTAAGGCAATACAAACAAACATCTGTTTGCTTATGATAGCTTCTAACAGTATTAAAGGCACTAAAAACAATTATTCGTTAGCTATAGCTTTCGGTAAAAGCATTATTAGCAAAAGCATTAGTTTCGTTAGCATATTTGATTATTTGTTTAATGAAACTAGCGTGATTTTGGCAAGCCCAACTAGGTGTCCTACATTAATTGTTGATTTAATCACTAATTACAGTAAGAGTGTGAGTAATGTGAATCATGTAGTTTGTTTAAAGTTAACAACTATTCTGGTGTATTCAATTGGACAGCAATACAAGCAACACGTGCTAAATGTCATCTGTTAGCCTATGATGACTCGCTGCAAAACCAACTGTTAGCCTTTTTGTTTATTTGTTTAATGAAACCGTATGTTATGGTTATGTTATTTAGCAGAGGCTTTTATCCAAAGTGACTCACAAAAAACATAAAATAACCATAATTAACATTAGAATATCAATACAAATAGTTACATAGTCAGTTACATTACTTATTACATTTTTAACAGGGTAATTAGTCATCTGTAACCTACTACATTTAAAAAAGAAAAAGTAAACTTCCCAACTCTGATCATTAATTATAGTCAGCTAATTAATTAAACTTCAAAGGATGACAAAAGCATGTCAATATGATCTGTCTGTCCGCTACATTAAATCAGCAGTAGCCTAAGTTCTGTCTTCAGTGTAAATGCTTCTTTAATAGTCATTGTATTACTATTTGAATTCATTGTAAATAATCTTAACTGTGCTGACTGCCTGTTTACTGTTTATCAGACAGTCATCATTCTGACATGTTTTGCAATATTGCATGAGGTGTTTTAGTCAGTTATTATTATTCTCATGGAGCGTTTTGAAATACAAGGGTATGAAAGCCCTTAACAATATGTGTGTTTTAATTTCAGTAACACTTTATTTTAAGGGTCACTTGTAGATTATCTACAATATGTCAACAAACTCAGTAGCATGTCAATAGAACATCTGTTAGTTATATTAGGTTAACCATCTACAGATCAGTAGACCATCAGTAACAAGAGCTGTAAGACTCTGGATGGCAATATCTGTTGAGATTATTAATGCATATCAATTGTGCACCAATGCCTTAGCCTTTCCCTATGCAATACTTTAGATTACATCTTGTTCTTATTGTTTCAAAGGCATGGCCAAAGGTTTGCCTTCTGGACTCTGGAGGCCAGAAGCTTGCTCGAGGGAACCCTTCAGCCAGTGTTCAGAGTGCCACGACAGAGTGCCAGAATGGATATCTCCCAGGAGAAGGTGGTCAACAGCAGACCAACAGCAGATTGAAGAATCCACAGTGTGGAAATTGTGCCCAATAAATGTATTCTGCACTGAAATGCCTCTCGGTCAAATTGCATGTTTATCTTTTGCAGCCTGATGCATAAACACACTAACGGTGCGTCTACACAGCAGCGTTAAAAAAATCTTGAAACGCTTCTGCCCATTCACTTTGAATGGGGTGACGTCACTTTCCCTCACTTTTCGCCGAAATGCATTGTGGGCAGGCGAGCGGAGATTTTCAGGATTCAAAGTTGAACAATGTTCAACTTTTGAGGCTGAGGTGGAAGCGTCAGCCAATCAAATCCCGTGTACGCAAATCTGACAGTTCAAGCTCTAGCCAATCAAACGGCGTGTATGCTGGGAGAGACATACCGCAGGTCATTTCCTCATATTCCAAAAAATGGAGGAGAAATTAGCGGTAGCGAATCAATCACCCGGTGCTTTATGACCAGACCTACCGGGATATAAACCGGAGAAGCCAGGCATGGAGGGAGGTGGCAGAGACAGTGGTATGTTTTCGCCTGTTTTGGGGAGTTTATATCCAGTTTACTTCGGGCTTTTTTGCTTCGTATGTCGCGGGCGGGAGATTCATGTGATTGGTTGTTCGCAAAAAATTCCCAAGCTTCAGATACGCCCACCTCCAAGATTTTTTTAACGCTGCTGTGTAGACGTACCGTTACAGTTGTTTTTCAGTAATCTAGCACCTCTTCAAAGACACATTTGATTTGATTTATTTTGAACGTGTAATACAGTAAAAAAATATATATAATAAATGTATGTCTACATACAATATACATTTACAATTATAAATAGATGATATCATTATTACTACAATATATATATATTTACGTTGTATGTCAAATTTGATAAGACAAATATAAAAGACTATCTTTTTACATCTGACATACAAAATACATTTGATATTAACAACAAATTGTTGTAAAAAATAAATAAAATAAACAATAATAATAATAATAAAAACATATTTTCATGCATGTAAATGTCTACTTTTGCGATTTTCATGCATTTTTAGATGGATAATAACAAGCATTACAATGTCTACTTTTGCAGTCATCCAATCCGCTAGGTGGCGATGTTGCAAAACAACTAGGGTCCTGGGAGTGCACTTCTACAATGCAAAATGTAATAAAAAGAGGAATACTAAAGTTGCCATTATCGATACCATAATGTAATCGTCAAAGACATGCCATAGCAGTTTAAGCAATCTTTAGTTGGACGTGTGTGGGACTGAGTGTTGTACGGTAGTGAAAGGGTTTTTGTACTAACTAAGTCACAGTAAACCGATAGTAAACGCTCAACAGTCACTTGTAACACTCTTAACATAATTTAGAAAACGTTTTAAAGTAACAACGAGCAGCAGTAAAAGGAATATTAATGTAATGAGTGTTGTTTCATTGTTTTGGGACGTAGCGGTCACTCCTTCAAAGTGGACTCTTCCGCGGGTCTTGACCAATCACATGCTTTGTTTTGGTCCCAGCCCCTCTATCAGGAAGGTGTAGCCTGCTGCAGGTTTCTTTTGCACTTTGACACTTCGCCCAATACCCAAAAGGGGAATCTCTCTTTGGACTCTGTTATTGTGTAGCTTCTTCTTCACCCTGTAAGGTCTGCTCAGTGCTGCGTCTGTCATGGCGGGGGGAAATCTGTCGGTCGTGCTGCACGCCAAGGGAGACCTCCGGCTGGTAGGAGACCACATCCAACCTGTACCATATGCTGCAGACGATTAGTATGAATTAAGATGAGTGCAACCTCTCTTTTTTTGTTTGTTTTTTGCCGATTTCTCACAGGAAAATCGCCCTATCCCGGAGCCAGGGCCTAATGGTATGATACATCATACAATTAAATATAATATATAGTATGTGTGCATGTTACTTAGGGTTTTATGACTGAAATGATTTAAATAATAGTCAATGCACAAATATCTTTCTCAATTTAAAATCTGCTGCATGTCAAAATGCATAACAAATGCCAACTTTTTACATTTGTTGCAAAGGAATATAGTTCAAACTGTGGAGAAACTAGGCATTGCTTTTAAAGTTTTCAAATGTTTTGTTGTTTCCTCTGAACTACTTTGTGACTTGCAAGTGAATAATTCATAGCTGTCAAAAAACTCACAACATGTTTATTTTTACTTTTGTCATTAGTTTGCTAAAAATTCAACTGAATAGTCATTTTATTTTAGTTAATTCATTAATTGTATCTGCTGAACAAATTCAGAGGTAAGGTAACAAAACATGCACACCCTCTTATGAGTAAGTGTCGTGATCTGCACCCAGAGGTTTTGCTGCAGATGCACTCTGTAGGAATCTGTGGATCAGATGTCCACTACTGGCAGAACGGCCGAATCGGGGACTTTGTCCTCACCAAACCGATGGTGTTGGGACACGAGGCAGCAGGGCGTGTGATGAAGGTCGGATCAGAAGTCAAGCATCTTAAAGTAGGTAAGTGGGCAAGCAATGTAAGAATCCGCCATTCTGTTAAAAAGTGAACACTCTTATTTGAAACTACATTTGTAATTCAAAAGGGTTAAGTTACTTTGTCAAATCTGGTTAGTACCTACAGTACTTTAACAGCAATAAACATACACAGTCATGGCACTGTAACTTCATACAGTGTACATCAGGAAGTCTTACTTAATCCTTAAATGTGTATGGTATTGAAATACATTTCTCACTTGGCCACAGTGTAATAGAGTTACCTGGACAAATTGCATTGTGTATTTTGTAGGTGACAGAGTAGCCATTGAGCCAGGCGTGCCCCGCGAGATGGATGAGTCATTTAAAAACGGAAGATATAACTTGTCTCCTACCATCTTCTTCTGCGCCACACCTCCTGATGATGGCAATCTGTGCCAATACTACAAGCACAGTGCCAACTTTTGCTACAAGTAAGAGCTTGTTTTAAGGATTGCATGGCTTTACCCAAGAGATTGCCCAACAACTGCCTGATATTGACTACCAACTGACTCTATTGCCTAACCTTTGCATAACTCTTTTTTTTTTTTCTGTTTATCTTGAAATACCCAGGTTGCCTGATAACGTGACATTTGAGGAGGGAGCTCTAATCGAACCTCTGTCTGTGGGGATCCATGCCTGTCGCAGAGCCGGTGTAACCCTGGGCACCACCGTGCTCATCTGTGGTGCAGGTAACAATGAGCCAAGAACTTAAACTCAGACAATAAAACATGTCACCACTATTAGTAGGAAAATTCCATCAGCAAGATGCTGCAGCTAAATTTGAGGAAGTGCCACACATACAAAGAGATAATTGTACTGTGTTTGTGTTGCAAGCAAGGCATCTAAACACACATCAGTGGGTGCAGTCACAAATACATAACTGACTCGACAGAAAACTACTGAACCCTTACACAACTTGTAGAGGCCTAATATTTAACAAATCCGTTATGTTGCAAAAACAAGTTAATTCTCATTTAAGCCACTCATGTTAAGCATTACATGAAGCTGACAGTCCTTTAAGGCTAATGTTACACAGTACTTGTGACAGCTGCAAACTCATTATAACATCGACTCTTTTTACTTTACAAAATGTCATGCTTGAAATCAATATTTAAAACAGTCTCTAAAATAGGCATCTTTCTCTCTTCTCACAGGGCCTATTGGGTTGGTCTGCCTGCTAGTGGCTAAGGCGATGGGGGCCTCGCAGGTCGTCATCACAGGTAACACAAACCATTTATATATACAGTTAACATCTACTGTATCTTAACTGAAGTGACACAACATCATCTCCTGTTCGGTCTTCTCTTTTTGCCTGTAATGCTCCTCTGCTGCTCAGATCTGGCCCCCGAGCGTCTGACCATGGCCAAAGAGTTGGGAGCAGACTACCAGCTGACGGTGAAGAGAGGAGACGCTCCCCGGCAGCTCGCCGAGAGCGTCGAGGAGAAGCTGGGCGCTCAGCCGCACGTTACTATTGAATGCTCTGGAGTGGAGAGCAGCATTCAAACCGCCATCTATGTATGTGACTGCTCAGTTGTATTAGGAATAATGAAGAAAGTCTGGGGAAACTATAGACATGCAACGTTTACTTCTCCGCTATAACTTATTTATTTATCTGACAACTTTGGCTACTAGTTGGCCATGGTATAGCTTTAACAACCCAACAGTTTATTAAATGGTTGCAATTATCTCCACCTCATCATACTACAACATAGAAATGCTACCTACATCCTAATACATCAGTAATAGTATTCTAGTAGATAATATATAACACTCACAGTTACTTCTTACTTCTAGTTTGATGCTTCTAATACATTTTGATCCCAATGCATACTCAAGACCTCTATGAAGCATAATGCTAATGAGCTTCAGTATAGTCATTTTATATTTACTTTTCCCTGTCAGGCCACGCGACCAGGTGGAGTGGTGACGCTGGTGGGTCTCGGCGCTGAGATGGCCAATATTCCTCTGATCCATGCTGCCATAAGAGAAGTGGACATCAGAGGAGTTTTCCGCTACTGCAACACGTAAGAAAATAACCACTCATTTGCCCTTCGATAAGCAGACATTTAAGCAACACTTCAGGCAGTTTCACCTGAGAGCATTAATGAGATCATTCATGCCTTGGTTGAAGCTCAAAGTAATAATTAGGTATCACAGACTGGTTTGAACTCTTGAATAAAATGCTTGTCTCACTGTGTTGCAGCTGGCCGATGGCAGTAGCCATGTTGGCGTCAGGTAAAGTGAATGTGAAGCCCCTGGTGACCCACCGCTTCAACCTGGAGCAGGCGGTGCAGGCCTTCGAGACCACGCGTCAGGGTCTCGGGATAAAGGTCATGTTAAAGTGTGACCAGAACGACCAGAAGCCCTGACCCACTGCAGGGAAACAGACCTGAGCCGAGAGCCACTCAGCGTGACAAGCAGAGACAAACACAGGCTGGACGTTGACCCTAGAATAGATAACAGAGAGTTCAAAGAGACAAACTGCATCAAGTGGTACGAGACATTATTGAATGAAACATTTGTAATGGTTGTTTATCATTTGTTCCATTATACATTTTTTATAATTGTTCATATGGCTACTGTAGTGAAAGAAAATCAATAAATCATACAATTTAAATAAAATGTTAGATGGCTTTTTGTGTTTTTTCCAATCCTGCACTACCTAATTTCAGACATCAGGGGGAACTAGAGGCTCAGAGTGAAAACGCATATCAGTGTTTTCGTCCCAATCCTATGACATAACATTCTACTTCTTTGTTTTTGTATACATGTCCTCTACTTTCCAGCATGAGCACAACATATTCAAGACATGCCTACAGTTATGGAACTGGGACAGAGATGTGTGCCACAACTCCACAAGGAATAGTTCAAGCATAGAATATTTACAGCATACTAAATGTTGTGCTTTACTATTTTTGTAGTTAGTAAAAAATAAACCAATGTACATTACAGGGAAATATCCAATGAATATAATACAATGCTAGGACTTGACTAGAGAAAGAAAATGTATTAATTCATACCTTTTTTCAAATCTTTGGGTAGCCCCTCCATTCACACGTTTAATGTTTATTTACTTTTACTAACATTGGTATGTCGTTTTTTAAGACACATCTAGTAACTCTTATTACGATAAGAGTGAATTTTGAATTTGACTGAAAGGTAAATGATTAAGAGAAAAAAATTAATGAACTGTTGATTTCAAAATAGTAGTATTAACTTTCATGGGATTGATTTAAAGTAAGAAACAATAGGTAAAAACGTTGACATAACCATAAGAAACTTTTCCTCACCGATTGTTTTCTTTTCCTGGCAGCAATGGGCTTCTACACAAAACAATCTAGTCATGAACGTACAAGGATAAAGAAATCACTGCACCCCCACTCAGCATATTCTGTTTCTGAACCAGAGTTCAGTTTGAGCCAGTCCAACAAAACCAGTCAGGTTTAACTCAGATTTTATTATCTTGCCACAATGACATGAAACTACTTTACGAGGCATGCACACAGATAATGTTCATATGGTTAAAATGTACTACAACGCATGGTAAACCTTTACCCGGCGGTAAGGCTCGTTTCCGTCACAGTGTGTGATTCACAGTTCTCTCTCTCTCTCCCTCTCAGAGCTGAACGCCAACAGGTCGGGAGAGGTTTGCCGTGACTAAACCTGTGTGTGTTTTTTGTTTTTTAAATGAGCACAATACTAGACAAGTTTCTCTTTATGTACACACATTCTAATACTGCTTATGGCAATGGGACAGCTCACACAACACAGTTACATTCACAATCCACTCAGTATGCATGAGTGTCAGTCAGGAACACTAAATATGAACGAACGGTAGCACACAAAATAAACTTCATTTTTCATACATGTGACTTTGATATCAAAAGCATACTTGATGCATGTTAATAGCTTTACTTGGTTGCTTATTATTTAAATGTGTGTGAGTGTGTGTACATGAGATCTAGAAAAGTCTTCAGAGGTTGAACTCGTGTATTGCCGTTAAAATGAAGAAAATCAAAAGGATATGGCATTTCTCCCATAAACCCCTGCTGCGAGCATTGGTTTGATTCACATGTACATTATAGCAACGTAGCATATTTAAACATTTCAAAACACATTCCCCTGTTCACTGGCGACTTTTTTGATATCCGACATTTTATTTTGTTTTTGCCAACATCTCGGTCCATTTTTACTCAACAGCCAGATTCAATTAATATTTACAATCCTCCGACACCTTCCCTCGCAATATTAGCAAAATATGTATTTACATGATAAATAAATAAACAGAGAAGAAAATGAAACTATACAAGAAGTATAGTAGAAGTATCATATTGCATTACATGAATATAAAAAAATAAATTGTGACGCATTCGCTCGATAAGTCCGCCCGCACGATCTCACTGAAGTGACACGGAAAAGCAAAGACAGGATAAATTAATCACACACACACACACACACACACACACACACACACACACACACACACACACACACACACACACACACACACACACACACACACACACACACACACACACACACACACACACACACACACACACACACACACACACACACACACACACACACACACACACACACACACACACACACACACACACACACATTCTTCAGCTGGTCAGATGTCAATAAAATGGGCATTTCATGTTAAGCACAGACAGGAGGAGATTGATGAAGAGCTGTAGTCATCAGCTCAAAGAAAGAAATGATAAGAGATGAATTGTCAGGGAGAAGCCTCCTCCCCCGCTCACTGGTCAGCTTGGTTTGTCCCGTAACCTTATTGGACAGTCCCTGGACATCGTCTATATGTACATAGGTGTCTCCTGTCCTGTGAGGAGTCTGAACATGGCCGCCGGCATGGTCTTCATGTGAATCTGGCAAAAAAAACAACAAAAATCTCAATGAAAGGGCCAAATATTTAGATCTTGTCTTCATGTTTAATGCTGTAGAATATTGTCTGTATTATTTTCTGGTTCCATGATAAAAGGGTTTGAGCTTTAACCATAAAACTCATTGTTGCCGTGTACAAAATCCTGCGCTAGCCAATCTAAAGTCCATTTACTGCATTGTGTGTATGTTCAAACACGTAGAAGTTCTGAGGTGATTAACTTATTCCTGTTAAATACTACTTGATACTTCTACCCCTCGACATTTCAGAGGTAAATAATGTACGGTTTATTACACTGCAATTATTTGACACTTACAGTTGTTAGTTTCCCTTTTTATAAAGAAAGACAAACAGCACTGTATAACACAGTACTACTAATGTACCCAGTAGGATACAAATAATCGAAAATTGGCTAAACATTGAAAACGGCTGCATTAAAATGCTCTTACATGTTAGTGATACAAACACTAGAGAGCCCACTCAGGTATTTATACTGTAACTTGTACCTGCTCCAGATGGAAGTTTTAAAAGTAAAACCAAAAGCTAGAAACTGCAACACTGATCCGTCCTCTTTTCTTGGGACTCTTCTTTCATATGATTTAAATCCAGGTTAACTTTAAATAGCAGACTTATATTATCCCCAAATGCAGAATAAAAAGCAGTGTAAAATCAATGGCCATGAACAAGATATATTGAGTAAAGTGAGAAAAAAGGTTTAAAGAGGTGCATTTAGACTGCAGCTGGGTGAGAGGAATGACCTCGGTGAAGGTTTTGATTCTGCCATCTTATGCACTCCACTGAGTCCCCTCTACAGTGAGTAGTGAGAGTAGTAAATCATCTCAAACAAAGCTTCAGACCGTTGTGCTCCACAGAAATGAACTTGATAAATCTAACCTTCCGCAACAACAGAAAGAACAGGATCTGTACTTGTGTAATATTTTAGTTCTGACATGTTTGGCTCAGAACACTTTGAAATATCTTCTCAAACTGGATCATACAATTTCACATAATGCTACTGAACTGTATATTTTGTTAGACTATCCCTGCCTGGTAATGCCAAGGTAATTCAAATGTAACTCCCCAATTTCTATTAGAAATGTGTGGTCGCCAAGCTTCACCTTAGATAACCAATCAGGGGGATTTTCCTCACTATATTAAAGTTCACCTATTATGCAAAATGCACTTTTTGATGTCTTTTATACATAAATATGTGTCCCCGGTGAGTAAGGAGCCTCAGAAAGTGTCCGGAAACACAACCCTCTCTCTTTTCCTCCTTACCCAATTCTCTAAAAACAGGGGTACAACGGAGCTGATCCAGATTTGCTGTGGACTTGACGTCAAATCGAAAATATGGGCTGGCTTTACATTGAACTCCTGGCAACGTCCCGCTCACGTCCCAACCTCTCGTCCCCATAAACAGTCCGCAGCTGTGTGTCTGTGTATTCCCAGGGAGGGCCACACAACTCTCTCAACAGTTTTATGTACAGTGTTATTTACTTCATGCCGATAGTGGTAGTGAAATAAAAACACATGTTTTTATACATATATGCAAATCTGTACATCCCAACGTTAGTGTCCTCTGCTTTCTAATGTGTGTGTGTTTATGTTCATCAGATTCACCTCGCCGACAGAGTTGGAGAGGGCCTGGACGATCTTCTCGTGTGCAGTGGCCACCACACTCTGCCCGTTGATCTCTATGATCCTGTGACCCACACGGACCCCCCCCTCGCTCAGCAATGCCGCCGCGCATCAGACTGCAGATCTGACAAACACACAAAAGGTCGTCAAGTTATTAGCATTTTGGGAGAAAATACTGAGTAATATGCAAAAACAAGGCCACTGGAAAGGTGACATGTCTGCAGGGATACTTTGAAAACACCTGAAACAAAAACTGTAACGGCCAAGAGATAAACTTCACATTACATCCTCACTGAAGATAATTGGAATTATGTTTTTTTAATCAAGGATTGTATTTTGTGGACAATGCTGTTCGAGGCAGAACAGCAGTTTATCACTGCAAATTCCAAACACATAGACACATTTGAAGATTCATCTAAACCAGGGATGGGCAACTTGGATGGTGGTGGGGGCCACATAATGTATGTATTGGCCACCAGGGGGCCGCAGATTCACTTGGAACACACACACACACAAATTCCATGTATTGTATGTAATTATTAACAAATATACTAAGTCAGACATCTTCATTGACATTTTACAATCTTTCAGGGAACATCCTCTAATAAGCTCACTAAACAAATATCAGTTCACAGAAATGTTATTTAATTTTTACAAGTGGCATGTATGTATTGAACAGGTTATTTAACAGTGGAATAAAACTATTTTAAACTATTGGAAAGCATACACAGAGGGCCTCATCATATAACTTTGCGTGGGGCCACAAGTTGGCGGCCCTGTGTCAACCCGCACTCTGCTGTTCCTCAGCGCCGCTCCCCCTCCCTCCCGCTGAAATTATGAATGAAAAGCGTATAGTAATCATAGATAACACGGCAGGGTCCGTGACAGTATGTTTTCATCTGATTTCAAATAAACAAAGTCTTGGTTTTTAGAATATGAAACTTGTTTCGCCAAATTCAGATGATAAATACAACTTTGAAGCTTGTAAAGGCATAATTACAAGCGGTAACTTAACGTCACAGCAGGCATAACAACAGCCAGTGTTTCTTGTGAGTGTTTCCCCGGGAAACAAACACAATACACACAAACGCGTCACAGATTATTTCGCGGTATTTTGCTGCCGAACAAAATCATGTACGCAGCTCGCGACGTAACTAGGAGTCTAGTGGATGGTATCAGTACTACAAGTAAAAAAATACAAAATATATATATATATTTTTTTAATTAATGACGTTGTTTATAAATTAATCTGAGGGTCGCAAAAAGAGGCCCCCGGGCCGCCAATTGCCCATCCCTGATCTAAACTAATGAATCCAATCTTTATTCATGAAAATACAAAGTAAGATTAAATAATGTTTTGAAAAACAACACTTTGGATGACACAGTTTTGACAGTATTACAAATCTCAAACCCAGACGTCAGATTGAAACTCACAATGCCGTTCTGCACGCTGAAGCCCAGCTGATACTTCAGATCCGGTCTCTTGATGAGGACGGTGGTAACAGGAGGGCAGCTGACGATATTCATCTTCACCTGCACCTGGTTCTTCAAGCCCTTTTAGAGAGAAACACGTATACATTGGTTTCACAGAAATTAATTGGAACAATTTTAGATTATCATGATGGCCTCGGTGTGTACCTTGATGATTCCCTGACAGGTGGCGAGGGGCAGCCCCACCAGGCTGGTGTTGTTGATGGACATGATCTGGTCTCCGATGCTCAGCTTTCCAGAGCGCGCCGCTGGCCCCCCGTTCATCATGTTGGCCAGAATGACGGTGGGCAGGATGGAGCCCCAGCCGGACTCCACTATCACCACGCCCAGGATCTCCCCTTTGCTCTTCTCCAGCTGCAGCTGTGAGAGGAGAACGTCTGTTGCTCATTTTCATGTTCAGTCATAGACAAACTGACTACTTCTAGCTACAGTACCATGAAACCAAGCAGAAATCTGTGGTCTAACAGCAGCCTGGATTTCAGAGGGTGGGGCTGGGAAATATCATGATATATATATGTATATATATATATATGAGTCTATTAAAAATGATCAACCATGTCATACTGTATATATCGAAATACCTATCCCTTTAATATCTCTGGCTGCCTTAAACTATATAAATCAATAAGCTGCAATAAGTGATGTTTATGTGTTTTAAATCTATATCAAATATTAAATCACATATTATTTTGATTATTTGCATTTAATTTTCCCAGATCTTTTCAAATGTCAAAAATCAGTCTAGTTACTACTGTAACGGTTTTTACTGACTGAGGCCCTGCACAGATGTTTGTATAGAAAGAGTAGTAATAGTAATAGTAGTAGTAATAGTAGAGTAAGTAGTATTTATAGATTCGTATTTAGTCTTTGAACTATATGTTGTAAAGCACTAAGACATAAAAAGTACTAAATTATTATTATTATTCTTATGTAATGCTACATGTATATCAGACATATATCCTCAGCATCTTTATGAATACTTCTGAATCAGCACCACAAACCTCCCCTAAGTGAACACACAGAGGGGCAGTGACACTTCTACAGCACAACCAAGCTGTATTTAGGTTGCCTATACTGTATTATTTATGTTCCATATTACACAAAAAGACACAAACTGATCCTATTATTACACCAGAATCTGAGTTACTCGGCACATCTAAACACTGCCCTGATATAGAAAAGAGCTCAGACTCTTCAGAGCAGCAGATGCTACCAGCCTGCACATGAAGCCATGGGAAACTAATTTGTCCTGCACACAGTCGGCGAGGAAGCGAGAGTGGTAGAGGAAAGCCGTTTCCCCATCTTTAAAAATGGGGCCCTCGCCGCCTCTGTGCTCAGACGGCAGAAAGTGTTTCACGGTTTTTAATTCTCCAAAAGCTTTCAGTAATGCTTTCAGGGCAAAGTGTTAGCTAAAGAGGAAATGCTAAAGAAAAAACACAGCTATCGTTGACATGCTGCGAGTAGATTTCACTGTACCATCTGCCTCTTGATCTGTCTAATTAGTGAACAGCTCCTGTACATTTGTGTGTTTCTGTAATGGCCCTGCAGCACGCATGTAAAATCACTGTTTTATGTTCTTGTTTTTTCTCCTGCAAAACACAAACATTTGCAGAAATAGGGCCATGTGTGCGCACTGCAGGCTGTATAAATACCAACCTCTTTGCAGTTTTCAGAGTTGGAGAAGTGGATGAGGTCGTCGTTGTACATCTCCTGGGTGTTGATGATGTCGCTGTACTCCTTCTGACTCAGGTCCTCGGGGTTGATGCCGTTTGCTCTCAGGAACTCCTGGTAAGCGACGCTGAACGCCTGGCCGATGGACTGAGCGATGAGCTGGGCCTTTACACACAAAAAGCAGAAATCATGTTGTTGTGTTAGGTCCACCGACACTTATCTTGACTGAGTTGAATATAAATAACAATACAGTGTGAAAAAAAGCATCCGGTGGTATCGCACAATAGTGCCATTGAGGGTGCCAAGAATATGTTAAGGCTTAATACAAATTGATTTTCCCTGTCATAAACTATTTGTCTACTTCTACAGGTGCACCATAGAGAGTATCCTGACTGGCTGCATCACGGCCTGGTACGGCAGCTGCACCGCCCTCAATCGTAAGGCTTTACAGAGGGTGGTGAAAACTGCACAGAACGGAGCTGCCATCCATGGAGGACCTTTACTCCCAGCGGCTCAGGAAGAAATCCCTCCGGATTATAAAATACCCCCATCACCCCAGCCACAAACTGTTCTGTCTGCTGCCGTCTGGCAGGCGTTACCGTGGCATCCGGACAAAAACCACCAGATTCAGGGACAGTTTCATCCCACAGGCCATAAGACTGTTAAACACCTGAACTGTTGAAACAACATCTGTTAAACACCTGAACTGTTGAAACAACATCCTTAATATTCATCTGGCTGCTACTTAAAAATTATTTATCTATTTACCTAATATATAATATTCCAATAACTTGCTTATAGACTCTTATTGCACTATTTCACTTTTTTAAACTATTTTTCTTTTTGTATTTACTATTTACTTGCACTATATTTTTCTGTTTATCTGTTTTATTGTGTTGCACTACTTGGAGAAGCCTGTGACCTAAGATGTTCACACTGTAGCTATGTTCGTATGACTAAATAAAGAACCTTGAACCTTGAGCAAGAAAGGAAAAATGTTCCTGCTCTGGCTTCCATGAGAATATTCCTGAAGATAATCGGCAGAAAAACAAATCCATATAAAGTTTATTTTCGGCCTTTACAACACTGTTGGAAAGATTCAGCTTATAAATTGTCAGCTATAGTATTCTGCACAAATCCATCACTTTAGACTAGCCATTCCCAACCAGGGGCTCTCTGACACACATGAGGTACATCTGGATTTGGCCATCATTGGGTGAGAAAAGCAATTCATCCACATGGGCTGTGGTTGTATTGAAGGGGAAAATAAGCAGAAAAATAGTATTAAGATTAAGTTTGAGTTTTTTCTTTGGTATAGCTGTGAAATAACCTATAAACTACAACATACGTCAGTCTGAATAACCTGGGTGACCTGTAACAACAGAAATATATCGCTAAAAGGATAAATGATTGAACTGTGCTGCTTAAGCCACCCACTCTTAAGTAAGCAAACCTGAGAGAGAGAGATCTAAACATCAACACTCCCAGGATCAGCATGCATCCAGTTTAAAATCTCGGTGTCATCTCAGGTGGTAATGATGAAGGGTTTTAAGCATATCTGTTTGGGCTGTTAGTACAACAATCTAGTACACAAATATATGGAACTGCAGCTTTAAAGCACCCTCCATCAAGACACACATACATTTAATACCAAGGAAGGAAAAACTTGTAAAAAAAATGGTAATTAGCAAATCGTATAAAGCAGACTGAGAATCCAAAGCGTGGTCTCGGCTGTGAGAGATAAGATAGATCTAGAGAATATTGAGGGTGCGGTATTTTGCAGACCCTATTCTCGCTGAATTCCTCTTTAATTGAATTCTGTACTTGAATATAAATCTCTTGTTGTTGTTGCAGACATTCATGAACCCAAACTCTCCAAATCAATACACTGAGAATTAGTTTTGCAGGGCAATAAAAAAGTCAAAAATAGCCAAACGCTGCATACAGCAAGCAGAGCAACAACGGAAACAGTTTCTAAATTGATGGAAGAGCGGCTGAACGGCTCCATTATAACTCCAGCAGGCCTTTAAAAGCTGGCAGCAAAAGTTAGCTGAAGAGAGGACAGACTGGAGAGCAGCCTTTAGAGCGACTGGCACACACTCTGGACTGCTGGCTCCATATTGTTCATGATGCCAAGTCTTGCTTAATCTGCTTCCACAAGACAAGCAGCAGCTCTGTGAGTTATAAATGGCCAGCCAATTTACATCATTCCCTGTCAGAGAGATCCTCTGAACGCTTGTTAAAGGTCACAAAGCTACACTTCTGAGAATTTCTAAATATAACAAAAACAATTTCCAATTATGCGGAGGAAAGATGAAAAACAGGAACCAATACTAGGATGTCTTCGAGCCAAATTGCGTGAAAAGCGCTCATATTTGGAAGCTAAAATTGAATCTGACAATCAAATAACAATAACAACGCAAAAACAAGCGTCAACAAGAGAGTCCTCTTACATAATAACAGAAAAACACAACAGTGCGACCTCTGTGTGACCTCTCACCTGCTCACAGTCAAAGGAATTTCAAGTTTTTCATTGTTTCTCATAAGCAGCCGGTTTGTGATATTAAAAACTCACAAAGTACTTACATCCTCAGACTCAAAGACATGGCAAATCATCTTGTACTGCTTCTTCGCCTCTGGGGCTCCGGGTGTAGTTTCGATGCAGTCCTGGGAGGCTGTGCGTGGCATGCGGCGTCTCGCCATCAGGACCACGATGTTCCCAATATCGGCAATGTAGGATATAGTTCGGAGCGCGTTGTCCATCATCGTTTCCTGTAGAGACATCAACCAAAATGTAAAAGAGGCAACATATTTGCTCCTACAGTTAAGTCAAATGTTCAACTTGTGTAGCAATATGACAGCAACGACTGTATTTATATGCTATCATTTAGTAATATATGAAGATTGAGGTGTTTAATCAAATACTTTTGATTATGTGGACCTCACATCTGAAACAAAATATATACACAGAGTCATTTCATAATTCAGTGTCTCCAAACCAACTCAGATGACGGGGATCATGTTAAAAATGGTGAAACGAGACCACAGAATTGTGGAGAATCGTCCACTCCACATTAAAGGCCTTTTTTTTTTTTAAAGCTTTAACCATCCTTTAGTTATGCTGCTATAGGCTTATACTGCTGGGAGACCTATACGAAGCTCCTCTCTCCTCCTCTTCCTCTCCATCTGTCTGCCTTCATGGGGAATCACAACGTCTTTGTGCTGTGTTGTGTTACCTTGGATCATGGATTGTTGCATCGCCTGCTGCTGTGGTTTTGCTTGCTATACACACTGCTACCATTTATATTATTTGTCATATTTTTAAGGAGCTATTATTTCATTTCATTTAATCGTTTATTTGAACCGGGACAGTGCACATTAATGAACATTTTAAACAAAATAATGCTTTCAAATGTAAATGAGCCGGATTTTAGCTTTGAGCTAATTTCCATCCGTAGTCCCATTATTATTATTAATGTTGTGCATCCACCACACCCCCCTTCCTCTCTCTCAACCTGACCATGGAACTACAAAAAGTAAAGTACATTTGGACCATGACTTACATTGGGTATTGATATAATATACGTAGGTGCCAGAGAGACCATGCTGGAGCCAATAAAAAGACACTACATCACGATAAGGCCTTTTAAATGACACATTTACGTCATTACATCTTTCCACAGTGAGCTTGCTGTTAGTGTTTCTCAAAAACTAACCTAGCTTTGAGCAATATTTTGTAACAATTACTGGTAATGATCCTGTTTCAGTTAACAGTTGGCTTCCTTTGATGGGTAATATTTGATGATTAAAACATCAGGGTGCAGCAGACTTGTTTCCTGTCTTTGTCAAAGCTGCCGGATTCTTTAGGGCAGAGAGTGAGATGAAAGTAATGTTGATAGAAAAATACGCGCCTTATTTTGAATGAATTCAAAACTGTATAATGTGATTATAGCAAAAATAACGACCCGAAGAATTTGATCTTAAGTACATTTCATCGGATAATAATGATCAGGTGTACAAAAAACTTGGTTTGGATATCAGTGTTTGTGTTGAAGAAAACAAAATGATATGTTTGTTTACTCAGCCAAATAATTACCGTATGTTATGATGTAACTGATATGAAGCATTGTTTCTGAACGCAAATATGGAATAGCAGTTTAGATTTACAATTGAAGGAGATTCTGAAGGTTTGATGAGAAAAACTTGTTTTTGTTAATGTTTTATGATAATATGCTAAATGTAATTTCAGTTTAATTAACTTCCCTTATGTCTGATGGGTTTAATACAGTATCCTAATTAATCCTGTTGTTCCAGCCCACCTTCGCAGTGGTTCATATTATGAATCAATGTCAGAAACCATAGCAAGCTGCACTGAGCCTTTTAAATGCAAAACGAAGGCTTTTATACTGAATC